ACCAGAAAGGGGCAGACCCAAAGATACCCTCAACAACACTCGCAATCTCGTATTCTCAACGAGATCCTCCTTTTGCCGACACTGGTCACATTCGACTTCCCCCTTTTGCCCATTCTCGAAGGACATTCTTCCTCACTTTCCCCGTACTCGTCTTGGGAAGCTCCGCCACCACTTCCACCTCCCGAGGGACCATGAACTTGCTGATCGCACTGTGATTTTTGGCCCACGCGATCACTCCTTTTCCGTCGATCTGCTTCCCCTGCTTCACAGTCACAAATGCCTTGGGTCGCTCCCCCCAATGAGCGTCCGGGACCGCCACAACACCAGCTTCGAGGATGTCGGGATGGGTAACAAGCATCGACTCGAGAGCGACGGATGATATGTTCTCGCCACCTGTTCGGCCTTGGTCAGCATTGCGTTGAACGGGCCACAACCGAGGAAAGATATTGCCTACCGCTGATGATGATATCCTTTGCTCGGTCCAAGATTTGGACGGCTCCGTCTGGGTGCCAAACCGCCAGATCCCCGGAGTGCAAGACGCCCCCAGCGAACAGCTTTCGCGTGGCCTCGGGGTCTTTGTAGTAGCCTCGGGAGCAGATGTTGCCAACAAAGGCGATCTCTCCTATCTCTTTGCCGTCCCGCTGGACGTCAATAATGGTTCCTTCTGGGACGTCCGTCTTGATGACTCGAACGGGCAAACTAGTCAAGAAGCCATGTCCTTGTCTTGCCATCTTCTTGTATTTCTCTTCCGCCGGCAGTTGATCCCATTGAGGCATGTAGTACCCTTTGGTAATTGGCCCATATGTCTCCGTCATCCCGTACACATGCACTGGGTGCAAGTTCAGGTTCGTCATTTGCTCAAACAGATGTGGGGTCGGTGGGCTGGCCGCTACGGTGACTTGGACTGGCCGCGGAAGTCGCTCGGCCTCTTTGGCAGCACACAGCAAGGTATTTACCGTTGGAGCTGCGTTGAAATGGGTAATGTATTCTTGCTTCAGCAATCTCCAAATCTCCGGATAGTCGATCTTTCGCAGGCAGTAATGGGTGCCACGGACAGCGGTCACTGCCCAGGGAAATGTCCAACCTGGAAGAGTTAGTCGGAAGATAACAGGTTAGCGACGCTGGGACAAAGCATACGACTTACCCATTGCATGAAACATAGGTAAAGTCCATAGATAACGGCAGCGGCCTTGTCGCAAATTCAGGCCAGACTCGATCACGTTGGCCAAGGCAGCTAGGTAGCAGCCGCGGTGAGAGAACTCGACGCCTTTGGGGCGGGCTGTTGTGCCACTGGTATAAGCCAGCGCAATGACATCGTCCTCGGAAGCAGCCTGGCTTTCCAGCCCATCCCAGCCCTTTGCGCCTGTGTCAGCGTCATACTTGAGACCTTGTAACACAGCCTCATCGAAAGGACCGGAGAGTTGGCCTTCTGTAGCATCCGTATCCGTGTCGACTATGAGGGGAATGTCTGGCTTTGCCGCTCTGTATGCCTGAAGTAGTGGTAGGTATTCTTTGTCCACAATGATGACCTCAGCATTCGAGTGCGTGAAGATATAGGCGATGTCATCTTCCTTGAGTCGGTAATTAACAGCTAATTGGTGTCAATGTCAACCTCTGCCGCAGGCAATGAAGTAAAGGTCTTGCGCTTACCAATGTTCACTGCTCCAGCAGCAGCTATCCCAAAGATTGACTCCAGGAAGGCAGGGGTGTTTGGACACAGAATGCCAACCCGCTTGAATCCATGCTTCTTGAGATAGTATGCAAGGCCTCTAGCACGATCTGCAGTCTCTATATATGTCCTCCGCAGAACCTGATTATTTGCAGTGACGTGGTAGATGGCTTCAGCCTATCAGCCAATGGTTTTCCCTGGTTAGTCCACTGAAACCTAGACAGTCGCTTTCTACAAAAGCAGTGCAAAGAAAAAGAAGTCTCACATCGGGTTCAATGGCCGCAGCACGGGGCAAGAACAATGTAGGCGAGAGCGTATGGTAGTTGATGCGATGTTGCGGAGCAGGGTCCTTAGCTTCGGGGGATGCAAAATGGCCAAGTAGACCCGACAAGCGAGTCTTGACAGATGACATGACTAGGGCTTGGTAGCGGTAGCCAAAGAAAAGAGTCCAGATTCATAAATCTAAGGTACAGGAAACCGAGTACTCCTTGGTGTATATAATTGCTGGTGTTTGGATTTGCGGAACAAGGGGAGCACCATACAACAAGAGCCGAATTGGAGACAAAGTGCGGGGATGATCGGCTGCTAGACTGCTTTGGACCGCGGAGAAGTTGGCTTACCCGCAGCCTACCAAGCGGGATGTGGGTGACTCTTTCACCGGCCTCGCTTCTTGTCCAATTATTATTGCTACAAGAAGAAGCTGAATACCTTGGAAGGAGAATGATATAAGAGCTCAATAATCGTTCTTGAGACAGATATATACTTTGTAATGAAAAGTCTACCCCAGGTTATCCTTCGTGTGTCTTGAAAAGCCATTCAGGGTAACCAATCACCCTAGGTCTGACAGAATTACTCCTGAAGCACACCCAGTATCTACCGACTACCCATATGATCCGTACTCGATCCGCACTCCGTACGCCCGTAACATCCGAGGCTGGTCATTGATGACTTGGATGTGTCGATCCTGAATGAGACTGAGGCATAGTGGGAACCAACCGCTAACAAACTACGCTCATTGACATGCCATAGATCTAGGCTTACAGTCAAACAAACGATGAACAAAGGGAAAAAAAAACAGAGGATAGAAACGAGCATTGTCAATGGTCATGAGAGTCATTCTTAACTCGAGAAAACTTTGGATTAAACCGCGACGGCGCGAAATAACGGTCAGCTATTTTGAACAACCTTTCATCCCAAGCGACTCCGTATTTTTTACTTTTGAATATGAAATCGGTTCCTGTAGCCTCCATGTCACGTCACAACATGAACATTTGTGGTAATGCATGATGAGGTAGGGACAAGGGAAAAAAAGGTCGATCGGTTTGCCGTCCAACTTCGCTGAAAGATAGACCGTTTGCGATCCCAACCCAACCCATCACTGAGACAAGCAACCAACCGCGCAACGAGGTATCTAATATCCGTACTCAGCAAGCTGGCTCTTGGTCTTCTCGTCAACGCTCGCCGACTTGTGAGCGTGGACGAGCTGGCGGCGAGCGGCCTTCTTGCGCTCGTAGTATGCACTGCTCTTAACCTTTCTCCGCTCCTCAAGTCTGAAAAGAATCATCCATTAGTCAAGTCCATAACACCAGAAAAACCAATGATCCCAAAGCGACGGATACACACCTGGCAACGACGTCCTGGTACTTCCAGCCAACCTCGTGGCTGAGTCTACCGACGGTGCAGTACTTGCGGCCGGGGCGGAGTCTGAGGACACGCAGAGCCTGGGGAACGACGACGCGCTTCTTCTTGTCGTAGGGGGGAGGAACACCCTCGAAGACCTTCAGTCTCTCCAGAGCAGCAGCACCACGGGGGGTCTTGTGGGGGATCATTCCGCGGACGGCCTTGTAGAAGATGCGGGAGGGGGCACGGAAGTGGAAGGGACCACCACGAGTGGGGTTGTAACGAGTCATCTTGCGAAGATAGGCGTGGTACTTGACTATATCATCGAAAGTGGCCATGTCAGCTCTTCGCTCCGAAACCAGCGCCAAACAGCCATAACATCTCCAAATGTCTCCACGTCTCGGTGTATCTCTGCTCCATCCTGCTCTTGCGACTTCAAAGGGGATGAAAAAACGGATCGGATAACGTACGCTTCGCACGGAAGAACTCGCCGGAGATGTTGAGGGCTTCACATCTCACAACGACGATCTTCTGGCCGTTAAGCAGCTGCTTAGCAACAGTGCTGGCCAGGCGACCAAGAAGGTGTCCCTTGCCGTCAATGACGACCTGTAAATTCCCAGCACAAGTCAGCGATCACTGTAATTGTAGATAACATAGACCATAATGTCTCCCGTCCTTGAAATCTCCAAAGCACAAAAGACGACGAGGCATTTTGGCGATCTGCAGGTGAAAGGGGTTACGCACGACTGGCTCGATGGAGGACATCCTGCTCTTCTGTCACCGTTTCAAAAGGAAAATATCCAGCGAAAGGAAGAGCGCTGCTCTAGGATACTCCCTTGGGATGTATGTTGTCGGCGGTTGTTGTCGTTGTGGTCGAGTTCAACGCACACAACGATGTCGGATGGGTTCGCAGGTTAGATCGCTAAGCGAAGCTACTACCCTTTGTGTGGAAAGGTCATTTGAGGGCCACAGCCCTAACCCGGTCCAATCCCGTGGCTCGGGATCACGTGAACAACCTCTTTTGCCCCTCCGGTCTATTCCAGCCCAGTTTGAGGCTTCCTGGGTCCAAAAGACAAATTGTTTCTTGATAGGCCAGTATCGGACTGTTCCACCGAAAAGCAGTATTTAGCTATCTTTCATTGACTTGCGGTTTATCTACTCCGTGGACTGTGGCCAGTGATGTCAATATCTTCAATCGGCAGGCCGACTCCGGCATGGATCTAGAGCCTTACATCGCTACTTGGAATTTGATCAATGGGATGAGATTGACAGCCTTGTGATCTTACAGACATAGCTCCTGGTACTACGGAGTACCTATTTGACTCTTTCTAAATAATTTATTAAACGATCGGCCACCGACCGAATTTCATGACATTTCTTGGCATAATCTAGAAGCATCAATGCTTCATGTTGGCTAAGATTGGTTGACATATTCATACCTGTGCTCGTATTAGGACTTTCGAGGTTGAAATTGCGGACAAAGGTCATACTCAACATGCTTTATGCTCTACCTACTAGTTCTCGTGACTCGAAATTCCCTTCAAAACCTTGTATGAGTCATTCGGTTCGCGGTTGCTATATACGACCCAGTTTCGCTGAAAAGAGCCGAGCTACTGCTACGTTTTTCCAGCTTTGAACAGTCTCTGGCTGCCTCGTTGCAAGGGTCGAGTGACAACAACAAACCTGACTTGTTTACAGACTTAGACGACTGATGAGGACGCGCTTTGTTTGTGTCTCTGACACGCACGGATACACGCCATCAGAAGCAGGGTACAAACTACCAGCGGGAGATGTCTTGATTCACGCGGGAGATCTTACGAACCAAGGCAGTCTATCTGAGTTGCGCAAAACGATCGAATGGATTTCCAAGGCCGACTATGAGGTCAAGATAGTTATCTGCGGTTAGTCTGCTTGGACCACCCGGTAGTGTACGCGTGTTTACTGATTAGCACACCTGTCCAGGCAATCATGACATTACGTTAGACGCAAGCTTTTATGCTAAATACGGATCGACGTTCCATAATCAGAGTCTAGAAAACCCTGAGCAATGTCTGGAAGTTGTGAGGGTAGGATCCCCCTCAATAGTATTTCTTCAGCATCAGTCAGCACTAGTCCGCTTGACCCGGGCCGACGGCCCCAAGACCGTATTTAAAGTCTTTGGCTCGCCCTACTCCCAGTTCATGGGAAACTGGGCATTCGGATACGAATCGGCCGACGCTGCTGCGCTCTGGGGGCAGATTCCATTGGACGCAGACATTGTCATCACACACACGCCGCCTCATTCTCACTGTGACAGCCTGGGCACTGGCGAGCCCGTCGGGTGCAAGGCCCTACGTCAGGCATTGAGCAAGGTGAGACCTCTGCTTGCCGTTTGCGGTCATGTACATGAGGCGCGGGGCTATGAGAGGGTCAAATGGTCCTCACCATCGTCAACCAATTCCGGACCGGAACAAACCGAGCATCAGGTTATGCGAGGTGTCCTACCTCCTCGAGAAAGCAAGAAGCAAAACCTAGTTGATCTAACGGGCAAAAAGGCCGAGCGTCTGGACAACGATGGCCACTCTGTCGACGCGAATCCAGATTTGCAGACGGCATCATTCACACCGTCGCAGAATGCCCTGCTACTGCCCTCAATTACAGCCTCAACATCCATGATGCCCGACAGTCCGCGACAGAGTCAAAATGCGCCTTTCCCGCTCCTTTCGAGTTTGATCGAGGATACACGCAGTGACGATATCCGTTTCCGACGAAAGGAGACGTGCATCGTCAACGCCGCTATCGTGGCAAACAATTGGCCGCACCGAGGGGGGAAGAAATTCAATCCTCCTATCGTAGTTGACCTGGAGCTGCCGACCTGGACAGAGCCTGAGTAGCCCAGTAAAATTACGATATTTGAATCTTTGGCATATCTACCAAGAATTTCAGTCTGAGGCTGTATTCGTTGCCTATGAGATTGGTATGCTCTGTGCGGCTGGCAACGGACAATGGAGCTCTGACCTACAGTGGGCGAATACATAGACTACCTTTCTGGGTGGTGCATAGCTGCCTTGATGAGCTCAATGACATTATAGCAAGCAGAGCGAGGTCTCGGGCTATCTCCATTACATCATTTCTTCAAGATGTTAAATTGATCCACATCTTTTGACCACGATATCCGTTGAGCACTTGGTCATCAACCCCACATGACAAGCGCGGACTTAAAGATCGCGAACCGAAGCACTGTCTCATCACACCATAGTAGTTTACAGAAACCTGATCAAACGACTTCCTACCCGATAAACATTATTAACACTGGACGAATGTTCAAAGGTCATCCGCAAGACCCCTCCATCACCTGATCGAACAATGTCACCAGCTTAAGGTTGACCATACCATACCTCACGCCCAAGTAGAGCGCTTGTTACCGCCTTATGAATGGCGGAGGAAATCTAGCGCGGTGATAGCTTGATCTTCTGCCAGAGGAGATACTTTGTGTTTGACGATGTCAAGATGATCTCACGAAAAGACCACGCTGATCGCATCTGCTTGTCGCAAGGTCCTAGACTACTCAGGCAGCCATCAGACCTAGTGTCAGGCCTCTAGAGAAATACAGCGTGAAAATACAATGTATCTTAAAAAGCTAGTGTGTTATATGACGAACCTCGCCTTATTATGGCCAAATCCCTGAGCTGAGGTTTCATCAGCAGCTAAGATCTTATCTAAGCATTCAGCCATAAAAACTGGTTTCAGCAGTTCGTATGCAATCTGTAGGAATGTCGACTGCTGAGTAGAGGCGTGGACCTACCTCAGCTGAATACATCCGTATCGGTAGTCGGTATCCATTTGTTTCAGTTTCTATCAGTATCGCCAACAGCGCCACCTGCTGGGGTTGGCGCGCTAACCCTGAATTAATTAATCGCTCCTGAGTGGGTCGAGACTAAGGCTCGGACTTTTGAGTCTTTCACTTTGATTGTTCCAAGTGGAGGAAGATCTCGATGATGATAACTAGCCGCCAATTGATAAGGTTGGTTAGATGCGCCTGGCCAGATCGGGAGATGTCTCTAGTGGGAGTTGTGGCTGTAGTACGGAGTACTACTGAGTACTCCGTCTCGGTGCTCCATACCCGTAGCTTAGTTGTCTACGAAACTACGCTGCCTGCAGTAAATCGCTCCTGGTGGTAGCTGCGATGTTCGGAGTAAATGGAGCTGCGCTTGTTTGGGTAAATGCCTAGGTATGTTCTATTTCTAGGTGTTTACTGCGCCTTGTAGTACCCCACAATTTGACTCTGATGCGGCAAGCCATGGATCGCCTAATTCTGGTGCAGGCAGAGCAGTTGATTTTCCTTGCAAGGAAGTAGCACATTGTGAAAGCCAGGGGTTCATATGTACAGCGTGCATATTGGTGATACATCAAAGCCAATTACTATGACTTGATGATCGTCGAAAGGATAATACAAGCGGGAGACTGAAGAAACCTCAGACCACATGGTCAGCCACTAGTACCTACTTCTGGATTCAGCGTTTAGATAGACTCTGGGCTTTTGTGACAGCTTCGCATCGTTGCCGTCGGTCACTTTGGGTGGACAAGATACACCACACACCCCAGAAAATGTGACATTGCCATTGTGCTCACTCACCTGTGGATGGGCGCCTGAGCCGGTGACTGGGTATGCTCGACCAGGGAAGGTGAAGCATTAGCCATGCAGACTAATGCCGGGGCAATCATCACTGCATGGCAGAGCGTGCTGATGGTTGGCTCGTTTCTGGAACGGACCTCCTGTGCAGATGACTTTCTCAGGAACCAATTATGCTTCCAGAAGCGTCCACTTCATGTTTCGACAGCGCTCAAAGCTCTGGGGATGGCGTACGCTCACAACAGGAATGGGATAGGTCAGCTCGCAAAGTAGGGTGGCAGCCATCATCAGGCCCCCGGTCCTGTCAGATTACGCTGTGGTTCGAGCTTTTGGAGGAGTCAGCCACATCAAAGGATATTTATCCTTTTTTCCTTTCGCCTTGTTCACCTCAATGGGGCGCCAAAGCGATGGAAGCCTCGTGCTATGAATGTGATTAAGCCCATTCTAAAATTAGCCGCTCATTCAAGGGACCATCCAGTTGTCCAAACCATGAGAAAAGGTCACCGTTCGCATGGACATCCAAGGACTCAGGTACTGCCTTCGGCGGAAGTGTCACGGAACCAGCCGGGAGCCACCCACGGGACCACTTTCACGCGAGCGAGGATCGGATCGGTGAGGGTTGTAAGCCGTGGATTCATTCGAAACATCAGCCAACGATAATTCCGTGTTCCTGAGTAAAAGGTCGCAGGTAAAACTAACTCCGCACATGAGCGATGTGATCTCTGATGCTCCACTGCTCTTGCTTAGCGAATAAGGCGCAAGCCTACAGAAGCTCCTAAAAAGGAAAATCAAAGGGAATGACGAACCTGTTTCTGTCCTCCGTCCTGTGGGACGAGAGCCGAGGGGGGACCAGGTGGTCAGCCAATTCTAGACCGCGAGGGCAGCAACCACTTGCAATGGGTGAGGCAAGGTGCAGAGAGGCGGACCATTAAAAAACAGGGCATCTCGGCGATATGATTGGATCTGTAAGTCGACCCCGGCAAAGGCGAAGGCGATGGAACTCTGTCAACCTATGAGGAGGAGAGATCATTGGGCAAAGGTCGAGGATATACGAAGTGTGGCCAGTGTTGCAGCCAGTCAGTCACCAGCCGGCGCCAAAATACTAGTGCGGGGTTTTCTGTTCATCGCTCCCTTTGCAGGACATGGCTGCAACAGAGTCCTCTGAGAGGATAGCGGTGGTCAGACTGCATATTGGGGGTGTTGTCCCCTAGAAGCTGATTAGTTCATGTTCAGATAGCACACCATCCAGTCATGATGAAGCATGGAGGGGTACTCTGAAATTGCCCCGCAAGCCTTGGCTGATGACGGTTGCACTGCTGCTGGCTGGCTGCTCATCTGCCAAAGAATTGTCAGTACTGTACACCGAAGAAGGATCATCAGGATTAAGTGGGTTCTCAAACCGAAGAGGAGGTATTCCCATTTTCTGTTGTCCTGCAGACCTCCCCCCTTAAAGCTGGAACGAGGAACAGAGTTTATTCAATACTAGGCGAGGGCAAAATAGGGCGAGTAGAAGGCTCACGGCTGCTCTTATTGGCATAAAGGGTATGCTCTTCGTCAAATATACTAACTACTACTGCTTGCTGTTCACGGGGTGATAGTGATACTCCCTAGGATGGACATCTCCAACGACTATGTAGTGTAGCAAGCAAGCACAGGGCTGTTGCTGAGTCCCTGTTAGCGCACCGCATCGTCAATCATCCATCATTCTTTCCAGCCTGATTCATGGCTGAGTATTTGTATCACATCTGTTCCTGATTTCCATTCACTAGGACTGGTACCTGGAGCATCCTTCTTAGGATCTCTAGCAACCTCACTCTAGTCAATTGATTCTTTTTTGATATCAAACATAGGTGATTCTCTTCTAGACTAGCTATATATCACTTCATCCTAAGAATCGTCAAAGACCTTCTCCAATTGTCTACGTTGATTGTCATTATCATTACTACTATCTATCAACTGTCCTCCACTTCTTCGGAGTCTCCAACAGCCCAACTCTGAGCGACACCAAGCGGGTCCCTAAACGTGGTTTCACTTCGACCTCTACTTCTCCCCATCTTCGATACTAATTAATCGATCTATCCACTTGCCAGCTACTCCGCCCACCTTTTGACCGCTAATTCGAATTGAGATCATCCCTTCCCTGGCAACCAAATCAGCAAACGAGGAGAATCCGCTGGATACTTAGAAAGAGACGGCCCCGGGGACACGCTCACTCTTTTATGCGTGCGCTTTTCACTACTACATAATTCCTACCAGCAGCGCTGCATCTTCCAGAGTGCCAACATCAACACCATCATCGCATTGTCATTCTCATAATCATTTCACTAGTCTCGTATCTCATTCCAACCCAACCTGCAGAGGAAGCGTCCCGATTGAATTCTATTTGTTCCTCCACCTGTGGCATCATCCAGCGTCTTCCACCTCGCTTCTTCTTGACATATTGACAACGACAACAATTCCATCATCATCGTCACAACTAGAGTACACTCATTACTACTCACCTTATTCATCTTTGAGCTGTTCATCTATAATTCTGACTAAGAGTGGTGCCACTTCATCGACGTCGACAACCAAGCGTGGCGCAGTCCATCCTGTTCTTGTGGCCTTCAGTGTTTGGCCTCACCCCGTCCGATTCAAACTTTTTTCTCGTGCCTGTCCCTTTTTTGCCTTTTACTTGAATTTTTTCCGACTTTGGCATTATTATTGGCTATTATTCATCTTTCTTTGCACCAGCTAGTCCACTGCTTGTCTGGTTTGCCCCTCGGTTCACTGCTACAGTACCACTTTTGCCCCCTTCAACGGAGTATCTAACCAACAAATCAAACACCCTCTTCTACGACGACGAAGAATACCCTACGGAAATCCAAACCCAACTATCCCCCTGATTCAAGAGGTGGCTCCTTTTTTAGATTAGTTCTGTCTCTTCCAATCATTGTCTTTCTGGCTGTCGTGCTTTTTCAGGGCCGATTTCCTGTGGTTGTTCTTTTGCCTTGCTGTGTTCTTATTGCTGATCTCTCGCTTTCCCACCGCATATATTTCTCTCATACCAGATTACATGATCCTCTTGGGAGCATTCTCCCGTCTTCGCCGACATTCTTAGATGAATTGGTCGTGTCTTGTGCCAGGAAGCTGGATTAATGAGCCATTGATCGTCACGAGAACCCACGTCACGGTCGTCACCCCATCGCATCCGCCCACCTTATCCACCCGTACCTAGGTCGGCCCAGGTACACTCCCGTGCTTTCCCACCGCCTCTCGCCTCTTCCATACCGCCCCCTTGGTCTCTACCATTTTGCTTTATCAACTCAACCATATCGCCTCTGGTACATCAATTATTTTTCTTTTTCCTTCTCCGTCTTTATATTTTTTTTTTTTTTCATATGATCATTACACATTGTTGATGTTTGTCAACCGAATGTTGATTTCTTCACATAATGTTATCGACACCAGATATCGATCCATATGCTGTCCTGGGAGTTCAGAAGGATGCGACTCTCGCCGAGATCAAGTCCGCTCACCGGAAACTGGTTCTCAAGTGCCACCCGGACAAGGTCAAGGATGAGTCTCAACGCAGCAAAGCTCAAGAAGAGTTTCAGCAGGTACAGCAGGCCTACGAGCTTCTTTCCGACGAGACGAAGAGAACCAGGTACGATCAAAAGGTTCGTCTGGCCGAACTGCGGCGCGAAATGATGGCGCGCGAAGGTTCCGCTGGCGGATCATACCCATATTCGTCCCCGCGTGGTAGCGGTACCTCCCGGGAGTATCGCGACGGGCGATATTACGAAGAGAGAAAGCCGGCCGATGCGGCTTTCTTTGAAGATGATTATAGGTACTGCGAGGAGCCGCGCCCGATGTCCCGCAAGTACGACGAGTTCGAACGGCGACGACCACGAACGAAGACGACCGAGGAAAAGAAGAAGTCCAAGGCGGTTCCCCTCGATCATCTTCGCACGGCGAAAGATGCACCTCGCGACAGCGTTAAATCGACCCACACCACTCGGGCCAAATACCGTACCAAGGAACGGCGGCGGGAAGCTTACGAGAAGCATGAACGGGCGGGACCGTATTACGACTCCGAAGATGACTCCGAAGCTTCGGATTCCAGTGCATCGTCCATCTATGTGAAAGTCAAGCGCCCTTCTGAGTCCAAAAGGAATCGCGACTCATCCTCGAGAAAGACCAAATCGACTGATTCAAGCCGTCGCGCCGAGCGCGCACGGTACGATGACGAAGATAACTATTCCGATGCATGGGACTCGAAGCACGAGAAATTACACACAACCGCACAGGATTATATTCTTCGCTCCAAAGCTGTTCCCGTGGAAAGCGATCGGAGACGTCGGCTATCTCGTTCTCCCGAGCACGAGAAATTACACACAACCGCACAGGATTATATCCTTCGCTCCAAAGCTGTTCCCGTGGAAAGCGATCGGAGACGTCGGCCATCTCGTTCTCCCGTCCGCCACCATGGCTACGAGTCTGCGGACCCCGAGCCATCGTCTCGGCGTCCCGGCCGCTCAAGCCGTTCGAGCCGGGAAGATGTGCGCCCTTCAACATCCCGCAACGGATCCTACGAACATCTGGAGTCTCAGTCCCGCAGCTACGAGACCAAGAGACCCAGTATGCCAACGGCTGCCACTTCTCCGAGTATCAAGGTGTCCTCTAGCACGGTTCGGCCGTCTCTTCAACCTTCACGATCTGCATCGAGTGCACAGACTCATTCTCGTTCGAGACGAGAGCCTACTAGTCGGGTAGAACAAGTTCTCCTGAACATGGTTCGGCAATCGGTCAAGCCAAGGGGCGTGGAGAGATATGATTCAGGCTATTCGAGCCCCGGTACCCCAGAAATGGCGCCGGGGGATAGCCCTACCAAGACCTCCACGCGCTACAAGATCAAAGAGCAAGACACGGTTGTGGTCGAACCGGTCATGCCACCGCCGCCCACCAGCTCGTCGAGACACTCGAGAGCGTACTCACCGCCACGCGCAGAACGCTCTTCGACCTCGACTCGATCTGCACCGAAACCGGTACGGAGTAGTACTACCTACGCCTACCCTCCTGAACCGTCGTCTCGTCACGAGAGCACTCGTCCGAGTGCTTCTAGACAGTCTTCAACAAGACTTTTCGGCGAAGTCGAGCATAGCTCACATCCCAAGGAGAAGGACATCAAGTATGCCCGCGAAATCCGGCCCGAGCACATCGTCTACAGCACCCGAGATGCCTATTCTCGCCAGCACTACGACGAATATCGTCAGCCCCCGGCGCCACGGCGCCAATCCGCCTATGCTTAATGAATGCACGACTGCACGATAACGACAGAAACCACACCATGTTGCAGCCCTTTTTTTTTTTTATTTTATTATCATTTTCGCAATCTTGCAGCGGGGCGGTGAAAGTCCTTGCACAGCTCCATTCTAGGTGGCTCCATTTTCGCTGATACTCTAGACGCCATGGAACTCTCTTCTCTTATCCGATTCTATCTCATTATTGGCGGTGTGAGAGTTCAGTTTGGTCTTTATTATTCCGTCCCACTTTATCCTTCTTGCCTATACTTTTTTCCAGAGATCTCTTTACATGACACCATCACGCATGCGGTAGACTGGAATGCCAATCTATCCATAACATCGATTACATCACATTGTTGGCGTACGGACTGCTATTGAACTTTAGATGCATTTGAGCCGATATGATACTGAACTGGGGGGCACTACTGGGGAGCAAACAATGAATATCTATGATGACGATTAACGAATCACCTTGGGAGGAACAGAACAGCACTTATTACAACGACATACAGAAATTGAACACTGGTCAGTGGACCTGCTTCTACGATATCTTACTATCCCGTCCTTGAGACCCATAGACTTTGTAAATTCGTCATGTTGCGGTCAATCAAGAGACCTTTTGGGAAACTGTAAGGTTGGCTGGTGCCTGAGCGCCAATATATGACATCAATTCTGCGTTCTATTACCCCTCAGAGAGCAACAACGTTAAGCATGTGGATCTAAATTTTACCCCAGATTAATGATTCTGAATATGCAAGAGACAATGGCAATGACATCATATGGAATCATCCTGCTTTGCGTACATCTGAGGTTGTCTCCTGACCCGCCTCTCTCAACGAGCTTGACTGGCCACCAACAAGGAAGACAAAAGACAATTTTGTCTGCGGCAGTTAGGGGAAAACGCTCTTATTTTGATAAATCCTGTATTTCAGTCCCCGCGGCCAGAATTGATTCATGAACGTTGTACATTCAACATAACCATTTATATATATTATGTTTATTGATGCCCCAGTTTCTGTTGATTCTACGTTTTGTACTACAGTACCTCTCTAGGAATGATGATAACAATCTTGATCTGGTAGTTTGTCATACATATTTCCACTAAACCTCGCTGGCCACTGTCCCGACGTCTCAGAACACTGCTCATCATATTCAGTCAAATCCTAACGTGGATTGCAATGGGCGAAGCATTTACAACGAATCAAGTAGATCACATGGTAAGAGAAGAGAACCACAAATGGAAGGGTATGTGTGTAATCGAAAGTAGGCCAGAATTCCAATAGAAAAAGAGTATAGTCTTGCCCACCAACAATTGAACATGCTAGAGGATGCTGAGGAAATGCCTTTCGGAGGTATTAATGCGTCAATATTTGATGTGCCTGTCTTCTATAAACATGAACCCAACGTATCCTGCTGCTCATCAAGGCTCGGACCAGTCGACCTGATCCGTCACCGATTCTGACCCGTCTTTTGAGTATGTAACACGGAGACGAAGGCGGAGCTTGGGTGGGAATGCCTATGATGATATTGTTAGCTATGAGCTGACTTGTCCCAAAATGCGGGTAAACTTACACCACTGAGCGCTGCAATCTTTAACATCTGCACGCCTTCGTCTCCCGCAGATAGCTCGGATTTGTTGATCGCGCTAAGTTGAAGCCGTTGACTTTTGGGCACCGCGGCTTGTAACCCGACGTTGGAGAATTGACTAAAGTCGGACATGTTGCGGAATCGCGCCTGGACCTGTGCATTTCCGTTGCCGCCCCGCTGCACCTGCAAAGTAAGGGTAAGGTCGTTCTTGTTGTACGCTGTATGAACCGCTGCGGCCGATGGGGATGGTGCTGGGGATGGGGCGGATCCAAGTCCTCCAAGTATATCCACAGATGCGGATGCCGGCTCCGCTGGGCGTGGTGAGGGGGTCGCTCCGTTTGATGAACCGAACAGGTCCATGATGGCGCTCGTGTTGACTGATTGGCCAGGTGCGTGTGCCGCCTGGGGAGCGGGCGAAGAGATGCCAGAGTCTCCACCGAGGATGTCCGCAAGTAGGTCTGCGGTGTTTTGAGATCCATTGGCTGCCGGGCTCGTTGCTGGAACATCGGCGCCACCCATGAGATCGACGAGCAGGTCCTGCTCGGCCTGCTTGGCAGGCTTCTTCGACTTGTCTTTGAGAAGCTTACTCTGGCGCTTCTTGCTGGGAGCGCCAAGGACTCTCTGTTCCTCGCGAATCTCGGGAGGTGGCATCCGTTCCAGCACACCTCTGCGAATTTGATCGTAGCCGAATAGGTTGGTGTACTCGACTGCGCGCTGTTGAATCTCCACGCTCAGATCGGCGGTCCGGCTGTTGAGGAAGCGCCGGAGACGCTCTATCTGCGCAGGGTCTGTCATGCGCACGGTGAGCTTCATCGACGCCGTCGTGATATACTCAACCACTGTCTGTGTTGCGTAGGTGCTGTTGAGAATATTGTTGAAGAGGTCAACAATGTCGCTTTCCTTGATCTCCTTGACGAGTTCCTCCTCCTCATACTGACCACCACGGAGCAAGCTGTCACCATATTCACCAATGACCCAAGTTGCCGCAAGCGTCAAGCCTTCCTGAGAGATATCCTCTTTCAGGGATGTGTAGAGCTTTTGCACGCAGTACGTCTGCAGTTCCGGCGTGGTGGCGATCAAGCGCACAAAAGACGACAGGATTTGTTCCTTGACGTACGCACCGGCCAGCTTGAGAACACGCAGAATGGTGTCGACATGCCAGCGCTTGTTAGGGGCGTAGCGATCAGCAGCGATACCAATCTGGGTTGTCATGGCTGGTTTGAACTCATTGTCGGCACCCTCTAGGAAAGCGAGCAGTTCCCGGACGAGGACACGCACGTTCGACTCGTTGATCAGCATGAAGCTCAGGTCGAGGGCACGTCGCCTGATGCTGATATCCGGGTCACGGAGACATTCCAGGATGGTGTTGCGGTGTCTCTGAACAGCATTGGGCTCGATCGCTACCACCTTATTCAGGGTATTGAGTGCAACGTAACGAATGTTGTTATCTTTGTTGGAGAGGAATTTTCCAAGAATATTGACACCCAAAACCCGCAAACCAGAGTCGGCCTCAATGTCAAGAATGGTGAGGACGGCCTCGTAAAGAATAGAGTTGCCCACATTTTTGGTGGCATCGGTGTTGGTAGCCACCTGGGCCAGAATGTCGTTGATCAACTCGCTGGTTGCCGCATCTCCTCTTCCGAGTACTTTCAACAAGCGCAGTATCTTAACCTGAAGGAACGGGTCCGTGATGCCTGAGACATCGTGCTCGGGAGCGTAACCGGAGGTCGTCAGTCCCTTCAAGGCCCGCACAAGACCGGGGACCAAGGGCCGGAACATCTCAATCACGCCCTCTTGCCCTTCCTCGGCCTCCTCCGCCTCGCACATGTCTATTACCAGGGTCAAACCGCACAACAGCACGCCGTGGTTTCGATCGGACAACAAGGCCTTGGCCTTCTCCAAGAAATGTTCCTGCAAGTCTGGCACCTTACGGCAGATACGCATGGCACATAATGCTGCCTTTCGCCGGATGTAGGGATTGGCTGTGGAGAGGAGGGACTCGACTTCGGTGAACAGATCCCGAGACATCTCGACGGAAGCGATGTTACCCAGGGCGCATAGCGCGAGACCGACGATATACTGGTTAGAATGGTTGAGATCACTGAAATCCTGTCAGCCAGGACACTTCACAAAGCAGCAAGCAGTTGTCGAGACGAAGACCCACTTCTTCAATGAGTTGGTCACCAATGTCAACACTTCCTGGTTCTCATCCAGGAGCAGCATGGTACCCAGGTACCCCAGCCGCTTGTCGGCGAATCGATGGGACGCCAACAGTTTCAGGCATTCGATCTGACCAAAGTGCGTTCGTTCCCCAAGGGTGAAAAGATACAGTAGTTTGGCGACATTGTTTCTCCTGCAAGCATCATATATGAGCTGGTTGTCCGACGGAAATCACAAGGTGCTGGTGTATGGTGCAGTGTATAATGCTGACCGGACTCCCGAATCATGGCTCTCTTCTCTGAACGACGCACGAATAGCGGCACTTTCTTTCTGAATCACTGCTCGTTCATCGGCAATCGTTTTGGCCGATCGGACATTCCGTATGAATTGTTTGACTGTTTCGAGCCCGCATGTGCGGTGACGAATTGATTAGTGATTCGGTCGCCAGCTCAAAGGGGGTGGGGTGGTTCACAGAGGGCAAACACATACGGGATGTCATGGCGGTCGCAAGGACCCCCGAACGGGGAGGAAGATAGGAGGATATAGGGGGTTGCGACGATTAGAGAAGAGACAGGGAAATTGAGAAGAAGAGAGGGCGGCGAAGAAACCTGTCCACGCACTACCCGGGAGTAAATCGATGAATGGATGTCGACGACTTTCTTTGATAGCTGCCCTTCTAGTTTGGCATGTCGAGCCTCTGCCGTCCTTTGCTCGATCTGGCACTCTTGGCAACCTCTTGTTCGGGCTTAGCGTCCCTCATGCCCTGCTTGAGTCACGTGATTACGGGCCCCGTGATATGCTCTCTTTGGCAGCCTTCGTGGTCAGGCATCAACTTGACAGGACATAATACACATGTATTGTAAAGGCAATACCGGAGATCGGCCGACGGCAGCTCCGTGGGTCCGACCAAGACACCGGATGCATATGTATGCATCGACATACGAATACGGCGGACGGCTCCGGCTCGGTGGCTTACTGGCGATGGCCGTGAAGCTATGACGTGCACCCTGGCTGGTTTGTTAACGCCTCTCTACTTCTCAGTACCTATCCAGATGTCCCTTGTGCCTTGGAAGTCCGGTCGATCCGCTAGAACGGTTCTTGGATGCGAATAATCCCTCCTTTTCCGTGTTGTTCGTTGGTCCCTGCGCAGATCATCAGCCTTACTCAAGTTTCGAACGCCCAACAGTGGTTCATGATAGGATCCACAGCAATACACATGACACATATCGTCAATTTCTCTTTCCATCAGGTTCCGAACTCTGATTATATATAACGCCCTTCATAACCCTTGCGGGTGATGTGAAAACGATATCGATGTGAACTTCGTTACTCTTGGCCCTCGTCACCAGGATGTCCACTGCTATCTTACAACGCAATGGCAATGGGTTGCCTCGAGCGCGCGCGGTGAAAAAAGCCGAGGAGGGTGTTACGACACCCACGTTAGACAGAATAGCATCTGTTGATTCAAGGTTGGTAGGACTTATGTCAAAGGGAACCTGAACTAGACTTGTGCTAACTTTTTTCGTCAAGTGGTCGCTCAACCCCCATCTCCGACGATGCGCCCCCCTCGGCGCAATCGATATCCAGCGCCAGGAAACAGGCGCGAGCTCGGACTCGCTTGTTCTACACCATCAATTATACTCCTCGAGTATCGCATTTTGACCCCAGAAGCGACCATCACAATTTTCGCGGCTTCTTCACCCTGTTCTGGATTGCGCTGTTCATCATGGTGGTTACGACTGTGCTGCGGAATATCAAGGATACTGGTTACCCATTGAGAGTGAAAGTGTGGGGCCTGCTGTCAGCAAATGTGTGGGAATTGGGTCTCAGCGACCTCGCGATGGTTGTCAGCAGTGCGCTCGTCGTGCCGCTGCATCGTCTCTTTAGGAGCAACGGTTTGCTGCGGTGGGGGCGAGCTGGTATGATTGTGCAAAGTCTCTTCGAAGCAATATGGCTTGTGCTGTGGATCAAGTGAGTGCGCTAAGCTTCAGCCGAATGCCTGGATCCTAACAAAGTCTCTAGCTGGCCTTTCATGATGCACTGGACCTGGACAGCCCAGGTTTTCCTGACTTTACATACCCTTGTCTTCCTGATGAAGATGCATTCATATGCGTTCTACAATGGACACCTAAGCGAAACCGAGCGTCGACTGGCCTCTCTGGACAAGCCTGGTCCGGTCTCACTCGATGCAGCGGTCAGATACCCAGACCCGGAACCTAGCGGACACCCGACACACCCGCGAAGCGGCCATACACGATCTAAATCAGTCGAGGAAGTGCGCGAGGACCTGGCATCAGAATTGACTTCACCCCTGGGACGTGTGACTTATCCACAGAACCTCTCTCTCACCAACTACATCGACTTTATTTTCTGCCCGACGCTCTGCTATGAGCTGGAGTACCCTCGGAACAAGAACAGACAATGGACAGAGTTGGCCGCCAAAGCTCTAGCCGTCTTCGGTTGCATTTTCCTCCTAACGCTGACGAGCGAGGAATTCATCGTCCCTGTACTGAGCGAGGCCAGTGTCCAACTACACGTGGTCCACGGCGCCTCCGAAAAGGCCTTGATCCTGGCCGAGACAATCAGCATGCTCCTGTTCCCATTCATGATAACATTCCTACTAGTCTTTCTGGTCATCTTCGAGTACGTGCTCGGCGCATTTGCAGAGATCACCCGCTTTGCCGACCGCCAGTTCTACTCGGACTGGTGGAACTCCTCTGACTGGTACGTATACAAGCCCTGCTAACAGTAACGCGATCTAACCGGCGCATTGTGCAGGCTCGAATTCTCCCGCGAATGGAACATCCCCGTGCACCACTTCCTCCGCCGACACGTCTACTTCCCTTCGCTATCATACTTCTCCCAGCCCGTAGCCATGTTCATCACGTTCCTCGTGAGCTCCGTCTTTCACGAGCTCATCATGAGCTGCATCACCAAGAAGCTGCGCGGATACGGCTTCCTAGCTATGATGCTCCAGATGCCCATCGTCGCCGTCCAACGGTCGCGATTCTTCCGCGGGAAGAGGACTCTCAATGTGAGTTCCCTATCCTTCTTGATCATGCAATCAGCTTGCTAACTGCGTCTTGGACATGTGCAGAACGTCTTCTTCTGGCTATCTATGATAACGGGGCTGTCTATGGTGAGTCCTGCCTCATCCCTACCGCCGGTAGATGCATACGCTGACGTTGTCCAGATGTGTGCTCTGTATGTCCTGGTTTGATCTGAACAATGTACACTGAGGTGGGTAGAATAGCGCGTTTTGGTTATACTTGTACTATAGTGTAGTAGATTTGGTTATATACCCTCGTATTGCAGGTGTTATGAGTATCCAACTTGATAGATTGTAATTCGTAGTCCAGACTCCGTAGTTGACAATGCAAGTCTTACTCCGCCTTCTCTTATTCTGGTTGTAACCAAAGCATAGCTACATAGAAGTGGGCAAGATACGGTTTCCAAAATGCGATGCTGAGACATCGGTCTCGTATGACAACCCACTGGAAGTGTCAATGTCGACAACTGTATCTATTAACCAAAATGAATGCGCGGCACACCTAAGCCCAAGGACAGAAGCAACCAGATTGAACACCACCTTCAACGCCCGGGCCGAGCCAAAATTGTCCTAAACGAAGAAACCAAGGGAACATAGTGATGCAGTCAATGACGTTCGCCCATCCCTCCCTGAGTTAAATGTGCTCAATAGGCTCCTCAGGCAGCAGAATCTGCCTCTCCTGCCTATCTCGGGGAAGACATGCTTTGAGAGGGGGACGGATGATATCATTAAACAAAAAAGTTCCGTAGACGAGAAGTGCAAAGCCCAGGACTTGCAGCCACTTGAATGTTTCCCAGCCGAGGGCGAGCGAAACCAGCCAGATGAAGAGAGTCCGGCAGGTGTCGATCGTACTGCGGGAGGTGGCAGATACGGCGTGGGTGACTGAAAGGCCAAAGAAGTTGAAGCCTCTATGAGAGAACGACAAATTAGCCTCTTGTACTCGGAAATATGGGAACGCAAAGACAGAGGTCTTAAGAAACACGAACCCAATGCTAATCATAATCAGGATGCTCGCCATGGCGATGTACTTGTGAGAGAAGACTTGACGCCATCCTTCTTTGGCGTCAAAATAGCCGTAGCGACCGGCTTCCGTCCGTCCTACGGTCAGGTACAGAATGATAGAAGCAATGACAGTAATGGAAAAACCGAACACACCCTCCCAGCCAACCACCTGAAGAGGATCCATGGCGTAGTTCTCGAGAATCCACTCCTCCAGCACGAACTGTGAGGCAGTGAAAATCTGTGCCGCTGCAATCAGCAGCACACCAATGACAGCCTTGATCGCTTCTGGAGTCTTTGCAAACTCCCGAGCTTCCATCACGGCCCGAGTGGCAATTGCAAGAGTGCCGTCCCGTGAGATATCATGCCCTTGGTCCTGGCTGAAGAGTGCACCGGCAAGTCCTACCAAGGCGACACCAAGGACTACTACGAACAGTGCAATCCACTGGTATAGGAACAACTTCCGACGGAGAAACAGGACGCTGAACAAACCGACAAAAAGAACCAATGCTCCACGCGTCATTTGGTAGATGCTGGCCGCCACGAAGAGCAGACCCACGTTCATCAGAGTCGTACCCGCGATATCGCAGCACGCCGGGGCAGCGAGAAGTAGGATCAGACGTCCACTGAGGTAAACCCGACCTCCAGCATCAGTGCGCTTGGGAGTATGGTTAGATGCATCAGGACCGTCAATCGTATGGTCCTCCTCATCGCCTATGTCATCGGGGTGGACGGGATTATACCCACCCGCAAGGAGAGGCGAAGAATTGGGCGACAGACGCGGATATATAAACGATTGGTAAACGTATGAGGCGAATATTACGAGCCAACAGCCCATTTCTCCAATAAACATCTGAACACTATCATCGTTACGGTACTGAATTAGCATCGATTGTGTAACATAGTGGATACAGGATGGGGGAAACCCACGTCTGGACGACCGGCTGCTCGAAAGTATGCCGATATTTAGGGTCTGGAGAGTCGCAGTTCCGCACACATTGCATATCCTTTCAAGTGGCATTAGCTAAATATAAAGGGCAGAAAGACTTCCGGTATCAGACCTGGAACTTATTGAGGATTGTATTGCAGACCCCGGTCACGAGCATCATCGTGACCAGAAACGGTATCAAAGCCCGACTAGCCATCTTGCACCTGTTAGGAGGTAGTTATAAACAAAAAGAGAATATGTACTGTGTATACGATATCCAAAGCTTTCGACGATGATAGCTAGCTATGAGCTGAGGCAATTCGATAATGACAAGGGACTCATGAAAGATAATCGAGGCTTGATCTCCGATATAATCGATCCAGCGAAATTTCAGAGACCGTAAATAAATGGAAAATCGCAATCGCAATCACAATCACAATCACAATCACAATCACAATCACAATCACTTATTGAGCACCATTCGGGGCCACAGAGGAGAGATCAATGAAGAGAACAAAGGGCGGAGGCGAGTGAATGCGCGAGTGACGGAGGTGGTGGAGACGGGGGAGGCTTATCAGCTCCCTATCAGTTACATGTTACTTAGTTACATATCAGCATGATTATATCAGCAGCTGATCAGCCGGAGTCTTAAGTTGGCTTGGCAGTGTCCAGGTGCAGAGGCACATGACTTGTATTATATGACTCTGGCATACTGCTAGGTATCTTCATGGACGGAGGATCTAGGACACACCAGGTTGAAATTGGATAATATTCATAATATTAGGAAGATTATTGCAAATACCCAATATGTCTAACAAGGAACGCTCGCAAGCCTTTCCCCTATCCCAGACAACTGACAAGAAGTCCCCCTCGCTTTTCCCAGATTTTGTCACACCAGATAACGCCATGGCTAATCTAACCAGATCGACAAGATGAAAATGGCACAAGAAAACAGAAATCAAACCCACAAGACAATGTGGGATACCCAGCACGATAAAGCCGACTGTGGAAAGCAAACCGGAGCCTCCCGTTCTCGGGCCGTGCGTTAATGTACACATAAATCATTCCTATTTACGCCAGGTAAACGAATATCGCGCAATTCAGCTGCGAAGTGCCATCTTTCCCTTACATGGCATAGATGGCAATGCCATTGTCGTCAACGGTCATGGCCCCGTCCTTCAGGTCAGCTGCATCCCAATCGAAACTCTCCCAGGAGTCATTAACCGCGAGCCCGTCTTCAAATCGTGAAGGAACATTGATCCAGTCCATTGGGATCCAGCTGTCTTCAGAGACATCGAACTTGCCGCTAGCATCCTGGATCTTTGGAACCTCGCTATCCTTTGGAGTCTGCGTAGCAACGCCAGTTTCGACAGAGTCAGGAGTATCCTCAGACTGGGCATTGGCAAACATTTCTGGGTTAATGAACTCATCCATAGATCCAAAGCCAAATCCTGAATCGGCGCCGAAATCCATGAACGTATCTTGAATTGCCTCGAGAGAGATGGTGCTATCTGCCCAAGGATCCTTAGTAACTGCAGCAGGAGGTGCAGACTGATCCACCGGCTTTACGGCTTCCTTCTTACCATCCTTGCTCGGGCTTGGCTTGAGCGCCGACGAGGTGGGAACTTTGGCCGCAGTTGTAAGAGGAGTCTGCTGAGTCGAACCAGGAGAAGCGGGCTTAGTGCCGGGGAGTCCGGGCGTGCGACCCACACCGGTAGTACTAGGAGCGATCGCTTCACCTTTGACTTCATGCTTGGCGGAAGACGGAACGATACCGGTGGTAGTAATGTCCTTCGTGAGATCCTGAGGTTGTGTTCCTTCTTCATCCTTCACAAGGCTGGTGTGGAAGCATTCAATAGCGAACTCGAGAGGATCGTTGATCGGCTCCTCCACCTTGTGGCTTTCTTCGACATGTTTATCAAGTGCGTCCTGAGTCGCAAACCCGAGGTGGTGATGCTGACACTCAATGACGCTGCATTTGAATGGGCCTCCCAGGACTGGAGCAGCTGTTTTAGCATCAGGCACGGCCTGCTTAGCCGCCTGCAACTTCGAGACTGGCGTGCCAGGAGCTTGACCTTGGGTTGGAGTCCCACCAGGGTGAGACTGCTTCCTCTTCTTCGAAGGAGGAATCTTCAACTTCTCGGGCGGAATGCTTCCCGGGCCGTAAGCATGCGGGACGCCCTGGGGAGATGGCGCTCCAAAAGGTGGCTGCGGCACTGCAGAGGTTGCCGAAGCAGCCTGGCTTGAGGCTCTTCGGGCTCGCTGGAGAGCCTCTTCCTGTTGTTGAAGCTGCTGCAAGTTACTTGCGTTTAGAGCAGGCATATTGTTCTGATTGGGCTGCGGCATGGCAGAGGATCCTTGTGGCACACTACTCGGCCGCTGACCAGAAGGTTGATTTTGCTGCTGGTTCACCCGGGTGATCATAGCGTGGAACAGCTTCCTGATATAATTGATGGTGCCGGTAAGATACTCTGGAGCAATGGTAAACTGGTCATTGATCGTCCAGTCCGGGCCGGGTTTAAATTGCCTCATTAATTGTATACGCTACATTAAAAATCGAGTTAGTATGTAAATTCCGGGAGGAGCGAAATTCAGGGACGACTGCGGACATACCATTGCAAGTAAACTGCGAACGTTCTTCTCCTGGCCGGGGATTTTTGAGAACCATTGGGCAAGAGTGTCCATTCTACCAAGCATGTCGGTGCATTCACGAAGTTGTTGGGTCATGGCAGCTTTCTGCTCAGGCGAAAGGGCAACTGGTTCCGCTGCAGGCGCATTCTTCGCGATATCGTTGTAGAGTTGTCGAATCTTCTCGGGTAGGTTGTTCCATGCTTCCTCCGCCGCTGCTCGACTGATCGGAACCCGTTGTTGACCTTGTTGTCTGCGCATTTGCGCCAACTGCATGCGTTGCTGAGGGGTCATTGCAGCCAGTTGCTCGGGCGTAATAGCCATATTTGGTCTAGAAGGCGGCGCCGATACTCCTCCTTGAGTAGTAGCTGACTGGGCTGTCTTTGGGACCGGTGCTGCTTGGGCCTCTGTAGGCTCTTCAGCGGCTGATTTGCGCTTCGTGCCTTGTTTGGGGGCGGATCCCTTCGTGCCCTTCGCAGCCGCCGTATTTGGAGCCTTGGCAGCCTGGTTTTGTTGGTTTTGCTGTGGGGTGGACTGCTGAGGACCCTGCTTGGCCTGAGAAGTGGTAGAAGGCCCGGTCAATGGAGGTTGTTGCACCGTTTGGTTCTGCTGGTTTTGGTTCATACTCTGCGCGGCTAAAGCCTGGGCTGCTCGGTTCTGGGCCGCTTGCATCAGTTGTTTCTGCCTGTTCCGAAGGATAATTTCGCGGAGCTGGTCGTCGGAGTAGTTGGCCACTTGAGCACCCAACCGCTGGCGAGCCATTTGGATTTCAGTGGCGGTGACCGGCCGCAACGCTGGCATGTTCATTGGTACCTGCTGCTGGCCCGCCTGGAACGCTTGTGGATTCACAAACGGCTGAGGCTGTCCCTGAAAAGACATCATCTGACCCCAGTTGCCTTGGCCATTCTGATCCATGTTACGGACGGCTCCTTCTTTCCCCTGAGCTACAATCTGGGCAAGATGTAGCTTCTGCAAAGTCATGAGCTTTTGCAAATCAACTCCCCCAAGAGCTTGCGGATTTGCAGCCACCCATTGTTTCAACTGACCCCAGGTCTTGATATGCTTCGGGACAGGGGAAACCATATTCGGGTTGTTAGCAAGGATCGCAGGAGGGAACTGGATGCGATCCATCTCCTTGACCTGATCAGGCGTCATCTCTATGCTCCCACTCTGCTGCCGCAGAAGTTGAAGCTTGTACAAGTCGTGCTGCCTCTGTTGCTGTTGCTGTTGCCGTTGCTGAGCCGACATCTGCTGTCCCGCGAGCATCTGATTGGGCAATTGTGCACCGTTCATTCCGGTGAGTTGCTGTTGCAGTCCGAGAGACGCTCGCATGTTCTGATTATTACCCATCTGGTTGTTCACCATCTGCTGATTCTGACCGGCTTGCGACAAATTCTGCTGCATGGGCAACGGTTGCTGACCAGCATTCGCTCTTGCGAGAGCTTGATTGTTTGCGAGAGCACGACGCTGCTGGTTTAAAAGAAAAGCATTAAGGTGTTCAGGAGTCATTTGAGCAAGCTGTTCGTGTGCCGCAGGTGGTAGACCAGGAGGGATCTGGGGTCGACCTTGCATTCCGGGCTGTCCAGCAAGACCCTGCACGCCATTGGGCTGTTGTCCCATCCCGGGAGGCCGCGACGGCGGCCGGACTTGAGCAGCCACCTGCCCTGGGGACATCTGCCCAGGCGGCATGGGACGGTTCAACATCGGCATAGCGGGACTTTGAGATAGTTGTTGCTGCATCTGTGGATTAGCCTGGCCTGCTTGCGATATCGCCATTTGCGCTTTCTGGGCTGCTTGAGCTCGTGCTTGCGCTTGGGATTGCGCTTGGGGCTGAGGCTGGAACTGTGCTGCCTGCTGACTTCGATCCTGCTGAACGGTCTGAGGGTTCTGCAGGTGCTGTGCCGCGAGAAATTGAGGGCTGATAGAGGCGCCATTGAGGTTGGCCTGACCTCCTTGACCCATCTGCTGGCCCACTTGGAACATGTTCTGAGGAGCAGTGTATGGCTGTTGGTTCATTTGGGTAGAACTGGCAGGCACCACGAGTTGACCTGCTTCTTGGGAACGCAACCCATCCGCTTGCTGGCCCTGGATATTTTCGACGTTGCCGATGAAGGACGACGGATCAAGGCTTTGTTGGCTGCCCATGGGAAATCCCGAATTGCGCTGAAAGGTCATCATGTTCTGAAAGATTTGTCGCTGCTGAGGATTCATCATGGGATCCGTCATCATGGCCCCGTTAGGGTCGACACCTGCGCTCTGCGCTCGTGCCATTTCCATGCGGTTTCGTTTATGTCTTCTGAGTTGATTCAAAGCCTGGCAACGGAAGAAGTACGTGATTGGATCCATGTTCTTTCTGGTAAGGTATTGTCTTTGTTCCGGTGTCATATTCTGTAGGTTCATGCGAATCTTCTCCATATCTTCCTGGGGCGTTTTGGCAAGGATCTGATTGGCTATCCGACAGACATGTTCGTATTCTTGAGCTGAGAGAGTATTGAGATCGTCAGGCAGGGAAGCATTGCCGCCTGGTCGTTGTTGCGCACGCTGCTGCTGGAGCATAGCCTGATTCTGCTGCGACTGTTGCTGCTGTTG